GTTCAGGCAGTGCAGCACCAGCTGCCTTGATAACAGCTCTGTTGCTGGCTTAAAATATTGGTGTGACTGCACCTTTGGACAGGACTGTGCACATGTGAGAAAGGATAGATCTTGTTGAGGCAAAATGATTTGCTTGTGTCCCTGGTGGTGCTTTCTGTGTTTAGTCCTGCCCCTGTTTTCCTATCACATCCTCGTGATACAGTTTATCTATCTGTTTTGCCAGGTTTTGTTGGCTCCTCAGCATATGCCCTCTTGTCCACCTGCTTGGGCCCATTAGCTCACATTTTGTCGCTGTTCTTTGAGTGTGATGCATTCTTTCACCGGCTGTTTGCATCAGGGGTCTCATTTCCTTTTTCCAACAACCCCTTTCTTGACTCTGCAGGGTCACAGCAGTGAGTAGGACAACGCTGAGAGATACTCAGAGAGCTGAGGTGACAATTACATGATGATGAAAGTTAGCATTATTTGAACCCCAGCAGCTACCTCTTCTGCAAGATGGTGCCTGCTGCTGAACGTTCAGCATTGGAAAGGAGACGATAATTTGTCACTAGATGATGGATATTGTGCTGTCAGCGTCTGGCATCTTTCAGACTCCCTAGTGTGTAGAGAAGCCAGCTGACCTCCACAGCGCTGCTCGGCTGTGAGATACCTCTGAAATCTATGAAAGAAACGGGTTCTGGGGACACTGGAGATGGTCTAGAGCGCTGCTGTGGGCTTATCTGTCAGTCCTACACCACGCAGCATGTGGAATCCCTTTTTTATGCCTTCTGGCAGAAAAGCTGAAGGCTGATAAACATTGACCTCAGGGGACAGTAAGGGATATGGCCAACCGCTGTGTGCTGATGCTTGCTGCCAGTCAGAAGGGTGGCCTGTAGGGTACGAATGCTCCTGGCACTGACACCAGCTTCGAGTGATTGATTGTCATTCCTCCCAATCAAGCCTTAGCCATAAATAATAGTGTTGTGTGAAATCAAGTACTTGAAAAACAAGCTTATTCCATATGAGTCTGCATCTCTAACAGTGAAAATGTGACAACAGATGAAGGGAGCGAGGCATTGACAGAGCTGCAAATATACACCTTTTCTTGCAGTGTGGAACTGAGATGGTAACAGAATCTGTGGTTATTTCAGGGAGAAAGTGGCCAGACCTATGCAACATCACAACCAAAGAAAGTATTTCTTGAGATTTTTATGGTCTTAAAGTTCCCTTCTGTCACAGACCATTCAATGACTCTATGGCTATTTTTCCTTTTGTTGTTTTAGGAGGCATTCAAAAAGTTGAGCATGTTTGCTGCTATCTATCTCCCCCCTTTTTCTAATGCTAATACAACACTTATAGGATCAACAACAGGTTGGGGTAGGTTTACAATGGCCACTTTACAGATAGGCATGAGAGCAAGGCATGGAATAAACAAGAGCAGAAAAAATGAACTTGGGATCTTTTTTTTTACAGTTTTCTTCTTGAACAACCAGAGCAGAGCAGCTTCTGTGTTCACCATGGGCTCTGTATTCCTGCTAAAAATGAAATAGCAATGGCTTCTGGATGAAAAGCAGAGCCTGGGATTTCCAACTTTCCATCCCTCCCATCAAAGCAGGGATTACAGTGAGAAGGACAATCTGGAATTCGTTTGTTGCCTCGCCAACAAACACCTGTACATTTTCCATTCTTCCCATCCTCCGACGCTCGAGCTTGGGGTGGGCTGCGGGATAAAGCAGGCTTGTATCTGAAAACAAAACAACTTTCCTGAACAGAAGGTTTTGGAGAGAACCCATCTGGAGTGAATTCCATGCTTCTTCCCAGGCACTAGAAAAGTGTGCAAGTTTTCTGAGCTGGAGCAGAAGGATTATCTATAGCATTGCAATCCAACTCAATTGGAAATCCAACTGACAAGTGGAAAATATATGAAACGTCCTTCCTTGGACATGAGAAAAGTTGGGTAGAGGTTTTTCTCCTTTCTTCTTTTTGGTTATTAACAATGTAACTCTTTCAGAGTAATAGATTAACTCAGAAAGGACTGGTAGTGTGTGACCAAGGCTGCAATGAGAGGAAGTGTGCATTTCAGGCTGTGTGTTTGAATGGTGTGCCGAGTGCTTGGGTATTGCACAGGGCATGGGAACTAAGGGAGGGGGAAGAGGGGTAGGGAATCACAGAACTGTTTGAGTTGGAAGGGACCTTATAGGCCATCTGGTCTGACTCTCCTGCAGTGAACAGGGACATATACAACTCCATCAGGTGCTCAGAGCCCCTCCATTCTGTGATGTTCCTGAAATACCATTTCCCCTCGGTTGTATTTTTCCCCAAAAGTTCTTCCGAAAAGACCCGTCTATCAGGATTGTGCCGTCTCCTTGGGAGGTGATGCTTTAATGCGTTAACACCTGTTTGGGGTATTTTCAAATGCACACTGTGTGTTTAGAGGCAGATGATCAGTTAGATGCACCACAGCGGGCTCTGAATAATGCATACAAGTGTTGGTGCTCCTCAGCTAACTGAGGGCTGTCCGACAGACCCTGCTCTGCTACTGCTCTGCTGGACCAGAGGCAGATGTAAGATTCAAAGCGGTGGGGGTGTGAATGGCGTGCTTCTGGCCGGGTGCCCATGGGGTGACCCCACATGCGGCCAGCACCGACGCTGCCACGCAACTTCGGCTTTCCAAAGGCAACGTGGTCGCGGGCACACCGTGGGTTTCCAGAGGCCGCATCACATCTGCAAGCCAGCTCTTTCCCTTCCACCTGCCCACAACGCGCAGCACCTAAACCTCCCGCAAAATCAACAGCAGCAGCTACGAACGATGCTGACGATCGCTGAGCCGCTGGCATCAAGTTGCGCGCCTAGCTGCGCCTCCCGTCAGCGCGGCTCTCGCAGCCCCCCGCTGTGCGCCGTGCTGTGCCGTGCCGTGCCGCGGGCAGGGTGGCGGCCCGTGCGCGCCTCTCGCGGCGGCTGGGCAGCGGCCGCCCGCCTCCCGCATCCCCGCCCGCTCCCCCCGGCCCCGCCGCCTCCCTCCTTCCTTCCCACCCTCCCTCCCTCCCTCCCGCCCCGCCCGCCCGGCGCGCACGGCCGCGGCGCGGGGACGCGGCCCCGGGCTCCCGCCCGCCCTCGCACGCACGCACACACACACGCACACTCACACGCGCGCTCCCTCGGTGCCTGCTCCTTCCTCGCCCCCCGCCGCCTCCCCCGCCTCCTCCTCCTCCTCCTCCTCCTTTCTCTGCAACGAGACGGAGAGAGGGAGCGAGGGGAACGGCGCTCGCAGGTATTTGTTTAGCGGCTCGGCGCTGCCGGATGGGCACCCCCGCCCCCCGCGCCCCTTCCCGCCGCCCCTCGCAGTTTGTTTACAAGTCGCAAAGTTGTAATTGAGGAGCCGCCAGGACACAGCTGGATGCTCGCTGCCGCCGCTGCTCCGTCTCCTTCTTTGTGTTAGGGACTGATGTGCAACTAATTAGCGGCGGGCAGGCTGCGCATCCAAGCCCCCCCAATAAAGAGCCCGGTAAGTGACTGTTTTGCTTTTTTTCCCTCTCCTCCTTCCTTCTCTGTGTTTTTTTTTTTTGTTGTTGTTGTTGTTTGTTTTGTTCTTTAAGGGGGGTGGGTTTTCTTTTTTTTATCTTTCTCATTTTGTGCTTTGTCGGCGGCTTTTTGTATCTTTTATTTTTTATTTTTTGCCGTCGTTCTTGTTCTCAGGGCTCGCCAAAGTACCTGAACGCCAGAGCCGGGCGAGAAAAGGCGCCGGGGCATTAATTTATTAATTAATCTGCCCCCGCCCCTCCTCCCGAATGTCAAATATGACCTCTGCACCCCGGCTCCTGCACGCCAGACGTGCGGGAGCGAACATGCACGGCCACGGCCGCCTCCCGCCGGTGGTCCCCGGTGAGGGCTGCGGGCTCAGCCCCCGGCACGCGGCCTCTCGGTGCGTGATCGATGCGTGCCCGATGCGTGCCCGCCGCCGCCGGAGGCCCCGAGGCCGTGCGGCTCCGCTCGCCTTCCTCTCGGGGCAGCCTTTGTATTGCCGGCTGCATCCCAGGCTCGTCCCTTCCCCGCCGAGGGGAGGACGCAGAGCGGCTCCCGGTCTCCTCCCGCCGCACTCCAGCCCGGGGCGAGGCTTCTCGCTCAGGTTCGCGCTCCCTGCGCTCGGATCTGTTGACATAAAGCCCGCTTTTCGGTGCCTCGGGAGAAGATGAAGTTGGTGCGCTCGGTAGGTTGGGCTCCGAACGGTTCATTAATCTAATTACGATCGTAATTACCGTAATTGATAACCATTTGGAACTGAACGTGGCGGCGTCTGGCAGCTAGATGCGGCCCCGCGGCGTGCCCGGAGCGGAGGCTCTGCCCGATGGCCGCCCGTCGGAAAAGGTGCTGAAGTATCTGAGCCGCTCAGCAGCTGGAAAACAAAGAGCCACTGTTCGGAAACTGAGGGCTTTTGAAGTTCTACTGCTGTTTCGCCTCAGTTGGCGAAGGCTGCCGTAACGTGCCTTTCTCCCACCTCTAAACCGAGACCCCCGGCAGCGGCCTGCGGGCGGCCCCCTGACCCCGCGGCTCCCTGCAGACGGCCTCGGGGATCCCTCCCTCCCTGCGGGGTGAGCTCCGGCTCCCGCAGCGCCCGGGGCCTCGGCGCGGTTACGGCTCGCCTGCCCCGGCGCTGCTGTCTCGGCTGTCGCCCCGCTGCCAGCTGTGCCGCGGCGCTAATGACCGCCGGGCGCAGAAGGACACGGCGGCAGCTGGCGGCTCCCCGCCTCCTTCTCTTCGGGGCTTTTTTTTCATCCCTTTCCCGCCTCCCCCCACTCCCCCCC